AGGTGCCTCTGTCGGGATACGATCCGAGTACAAGTCTAGAGTGTCCAGGCTACACCAGCCTGCGCCCTTACAGCTGTTGGATTGTTAGGGTTCTCTTCAGGGCACCGGAGGATGAGGGGTGTTGTTCTGAATGGCAGCAAAATTGTCCTCCAGTTTAGAGCTGGTGATGGTACACGTGGTCATGGCACAGACGCCACCCGAGAGCAGGATGCCAGGCCAGGGCCGTATTCTCACCCTCGTCTGATAAGCCTCAAAATGGGCCCACAGGAAGCGAGGTCTCTGGTGTCCATCTAATGTTCGTAACACAACACCAAGGAAAATATGTAATTGTCCTTCTGGAGAATCTGATAGTCATACATCTGGTCTACTGAGACTTCAGTTTACAAGCAATATGGTCTGAAGATTCATATTCAGGTCGTCTGGGTTATGACACCGTGTAGTCTTGTAGGTGGTTGTCGGTTCTACTGTAAAGATTAAGGTAGTATGATGTCAGTACATATTTACCAGTCTGTACGGTCGATGTAGCGGCGACCCTTTACTGTTCGTAACGCCCCATCGGTTTTTATGTTTTACGTACTTAGAACTTTCCACTTATGCAGTACAGACCATTCATAATAATTTCTGTCTTGCATCGGTGTGAGTTTCACTTGATGATGAGTACGATATGGCAGATAATTGTAGGGGGCACGCGGTAGCAGGCCACCGGTTCGATTCCCGATGAGGCCATTGGATTTTTCAATTTACCTACTCCTTCCAGCCGCACTGTGGCCCTGGGGTCGACTCAGCCTCTAACAATAATGAGTATCAGGAAACTTCCTGGGGGTAAAGGGCGGCCGGCACATTAGGCTGACAACCTCAGGGCCATCTGTGAGCCGACTGGCTAGAAAGAGTGGGAGCCTCGATGTCTCACAACCCTATTGGCCTCCATGGTCTGTTACAGGGATAGCTTTACCTTTTACCTTTTAATTATAAGTTTGTGTCAGGACTGCTTATTTACAGCTTGTAATATAACTCATGCCGGTCACGGTAGCCGAGCGGTCTAAGGCATGTACTGTCTTCGCTCGCTTGGAAACCGGGATCGTGGGTTCGAATCCCATTCAGGGCATGGATGTTTAGTTTGTGTGTGTGTGCGTTTTTCTGTATTTGTGTACAGGTAGAGGCCTTGCGTTCAAATCCCAATCAGGGCATGGATGTTTAGTTTGTGTGTGTGCGTTTTTCTGTGTTTGTGTACAGGTAGAGGCCTTGCGACGAGCTGATCACCCGCCCAAGGAGTCCTACCGAATGTGTAAGATCTAGAAAAACCGAAGTGAACGGAGAAGTTCATGGAGGTAGGCCTAGGCCCACTGGGGCTGTAGTGCCAAAGGGGAAAAAAATAGAACTCATAAAGGCGTGTAAAGGGAAGTGGATGTATAGATCACTCCCCCATATGTCTTCATGGCGTAGTGTTTAATTAGTTGAACACAGAGACAACTTTGCCTCTTTTTAATGGGACACATGCGGGATGCTAACATATAGAAGTCTTAGTCTTCTGTTCGTGAGGTACTTGGGTCGAAACTCGGCTTGGATACCAGGTATCCTGTCTGAGGTTTCCGTATTTTGCTTTACGTCCAGGCCAATGCTGGGGCAGTTCCGCCTCCTTCCAAATCCTTTCCAATTCCGCAGTCAAGTTGTCCACTGCGTCGCGAAGTGAAGCACGTGACGAAGCCGCTCTGCAACCTGCTGTCACATGGTACGGAGGAGGTGAGAGTCCAGGAAGCCGTTTTGCACTGTACAGAACAAAGGTCGGCTGGCTAGACCACAGGCCGTGCCGTCCGTCGCGAGTTCAGTTATGTCCAGTTTTTGTCTGAGGACGTGGACTAGAGTCATCTGGCTCAGGTTAGGGTCCAGTGGCGGGCTGTTGTCTGGGTGCTCTGCTCCTTGCAGCAGTCAAATGAACCTGAGAGGGCGCACTTCGGGTGCGGGCACGCTGACAGTTGCCGCAGCTGCGGGACGCCCTGCCCAGTCCCTTGACTCCAAATTAATTTGTTTCATTTGAAGGCGACGTTAGCAGCTGGCTACAATTAGTGAATAATGAATTGTAAAGGATGTGGAAGGAGGCGCTGGTGGTCCAGTTTCAAGTAATATCCAGACAGAAGATACTGAGGAAAAACAAAACAAATCTCAAATCAAGTTAGCTGGTGTCTGGGCCCGAGATATGTTCCCATCATGTTCTGCCTACGGAGCAGGGTTGCTCAGCGTTCTTCTGTTTCAGTGCCATATTGATGATGATGATGATGATGATGATGATGATTGATCTTCCCCTTCTTCCGTGGATTGGGCCGGCTATAGTCTCTATTCAGAGCCGTGTAGGTAAGGTAAAGCTGTCCCTGTGCTTATCTAACTAAGCGCTATGCCATGAAGGCGTATGGGGCAATGGCTGTATGGATCCACATTTTCTTGACCTCTACACTAGCTAGAGGTGAGTGGTCAGCTTCACGCCCCGGCTACTTTACCACCAGAAACGAGCCCCCGGTACCCATTGTATAGGAGGTTGGATAAACCCCAGAGCTGGTCTGGACGATGTGGAGAAGTGAAAATCTTTGGCCCTACCGGGACTCGAACTCCGACCTCTCGGTCGCTATCCCGACTCTTCCGAACCGTGCAGCTAAAGGTAAAGCTGCCTCTGTGCTTAGTTAATTAAGTACCACGGCATGAACACGTATGGGGAAGTGGAAGTATAGATCCACGTTTTCTTGAGTTCGGCACTAGGTTGAGGTGAGTGGTCAGCTTCACCCTCCGGCCGCTTTACCACCAAAGAAAGAGACACTTCAGAAAAATCTCTCATCCCTGCTGGAAGTCCAACCCCCGATTCTTCAGTCATCTAGCCCATTGTACCGACCGAGCTATCCCGGCTTCACACTGTACATGACGTGTTCAGTAACTGCCTGTGTAGGTGTCTCAATCTGTGGGTCGGGACCACAGTCTGTTACACGTATGTGCATGTGATCATAAAAACTGTTTGTGCTACTGTTGGAAATACAGCTTTTCCTGAGGAGGAATTCTTTTGCAAAACTAAGCTTTGCAACTTGGAGTGCAGGTCATATTGTTACACTAATGTAAGCAGCAGGAACGGTACGGAAGGATAACATTAAGATTAATCTTCCGGGAGGCTGATTGTAAGGGTGGGAAGTGGATGGAACTGGACCAGGACTTTGTCTAATGGCAGACTCTTTTTCCTACCACCCTGATCATTGTCAGCGAAGTGTATGAACTCTGAGGGCATGAGCCCCCAAAAACGTTAGTCACAGGGAAAATCCCATCCCTTTAGGAATTTAGGAAATGCTGATAACGCGAAATTATTATTCCTTGTATCAAAATTCTGCTACCAGTCTAGGCATACGCGTATATCATGTGGTCTTCTGGAATGTGATGCCACGCTGTCTGGTAGAAGCTCACTGACGTTTCGCAGGGATATATTGCCTCCATCTTCAGGATAGAAGAGTAAGCTAAGCAAGCAACCAGCTCTGCTTGTCGCTTGCTTCTTCTTGCTTGTTTAGTTTGCTGTTAGACCCTGAAGACGGAGGCACTCCGGTAGACTTCCACATTGTGCATTGTGCCTCACCCGAGAAGGCGGTGTTTCATCATGGGGACCTCTGTGAGAACCTCATTACATGTGGTGAGGAGGTTGCGTTAAACCGGTGAAGACCGGTGAACGCCAAGACCAGCTGAATGAGATGTGGCAGCAAATGTTGGGTGTCAAGAGGAAAAAAGGTAAAGTTATCCCTGTGCCTAATTAAGCGCCATGTCATAAAAGCATATGGAGGAGTGGAATATAGCTCCACGTATTCTTAAATTTCAGCTCCAGATAAAGATGAGTGGTCAGCTTCACGTCTCAGCACCTTTACCCCTAGGGAAGAGTCTCCGGTATCAGTTATATAGGGGGCTCCAGAACCTGTCTTGATGCTACAGAGAAGAAATAAATGCCTGCCGAAATCAGGAATCAAACCCGGATTCACTCTGTCGTCAACTTCGTAACCTAGCTGCTGTACTGGCTTGTCAGGAAACTGCATGTAAGCTGCCGGTTTTTCCAATTCCGCCTCAGATATTCGCGCTGCCGACATGTTGGTGTTATTGACATCAAGAAATCAGAAAGTAAAAGCTGGTGTACAAGTGGCATGGCGTTTAATGAAAATCTGTCAGGTGATTCAGAAGTTACTGAGAGTGCATGATCACATAAGCATGTCTTTCATTATAAAATAAGGGATGGAGCTGTAGACTAAGATGCGGGTGTATAATACGTTCAGGTACCCTTTACNTCCCTTTTCTTGGGGGGGGGGGGGCTTACTCCCGTGGACTCATTCTAAATGTGGCACCTGTACCAAGCTTTTACATTGGTCGAAACTATCCTCTGTATGTTTTAGTCGCGGATTCTTCTGTTTTGTCCTATTGAAACGCGTAAATAACTTGAATTTAAATTGCACAAAAAGCTGAGTCGAACAACTTTATTTCTAATAATTCATATAATTCACCCAATAAATGACATTGTTTTACAGAGCTCACAGCATAACTTTAGCCATTTTTAATCGTGGAATCCGCCTAAATGATATATAAGGATCGAGTTCTTACCTCACAGGAAACACATTACGTCTCCGTTACAAAGCCCAACCAGTTAATGCTGTTTAGGGAAATAATCGCAGTTTATTGTGAGAACCATGAGGAACATATAAATATATTCTGTAGGCAAAGCTAATGTTAAAACATGTGGTCCATATAGTTACCATTACATCTTATATGGTTACATATCATAACAGACTTTCGGGAAGGAGGGCCCTCTAAGGTACGTAGGTTCTCGCCCATGTACACATCAAAGTCACCGATGAAGAATTAGTCATAGTTAGATTAACCAATCAGGTTGTAGAAAATATTATCACGTGGTTGCAATTTGTTTTCCGTTTCATTTTCGCGATGCTCTGCCTCCCTCATTGGTGTGACATTGGAAAGGGTGGTACAAGCCTGAAAGGGCAACTGGGGGGTGGGTTAGTGACAGTAAGGCCAGCCAGCCCGCAGTGGAGACAGTCAAGCGAGGACCACGGTGTCTAGTGGTTTGCAGGCAGCATGAGAGACGGAGCCAGCGAGGACGAAGGAGGTGAGTCGTAACGACACATCTTGTTCACGTGTATCTCTCCTTACCCCTCAAATCATTTATTTTAAACGCTGTAAAGTTATGTCGTCACTAGGTTATGGGTTTGTGGATTGTGAAAACTTGCAGTCTGATGGGTAGTTACCAAAATTTCCGAAGAACGTACTGCCTCCATCTTAAGGATAAAATATATATCTTCTCTGTCGTGTAGAACTCGGGTCTTAAATATCTCAGTCTGCATTTAGATCCAAAACACACGTGTTTCGATTTCGCCACCTGAAGCCAAGAATTTAAGACATTGGTCTGGAACCGAGACAAGCAAGATAAGACAACAGTAGATGACGAATTTCACAACTCAGTTTTATAATTACATTTTGACGTAGTTCAAATTGCGATACATGTTTTACATCGGGACTATTGGGAGGTTTGTCCAGTTGTTTCGGGTCCGGTGTCATTCTCACATAGTCCAGTTGTTTACAGGAGTAATTCTAATTTTGTTCTTAATTTTAGGAAGAAGTGAAATGCCATACAAGATAGTTACAGCTGAAATAATATTTCCCCTTGATCATGTTGCAAGGCCGTTGGGCTGCACTATCGCAGGCATGGAAATGAGCATTCCTAGGATCTGGATGTCCTGTGTGTATGTGGGTACTGCTGTTGCAAACTGACGCTAACCCTTTGTAACTAAGTGTAATTTCTCGTATAAGTAATATATAAAAATTCGGTCCATACCTCACAGGAAACACTATCTCGCCGTTACAAAGAGTAACCAGTTAGTATTGTTATTTTGTGAGAATTATGCAATGCACATATATATTTCTTTTCTGTGCAAACTATATTCTTAAGGATGTGGTACATATAGTCACCAGTGCGCGTTGAAGGGTTGCGTCGAATGCATCTTTTCCAATAACAAGGTCATGAAATTTTAGTAGTATATGCCATTTTTCACTTCCAGCTAGTGCCGTGGTCAAGGAAATGTGGATCTATGCATCCACTCCCCTTATACGCCTTCATGGCGTAGTACTTAATTAGTTGAGCACAGGAACAACTTTACATTTCTACCGTTTATATGCCATTTTTTTTTAAGACTACGCAAATGTGTAGAGACTTCTCGTCGACGAATGTGTCCCAAGCAGACGGTACAGTTTGGAAGGTCCAGCCTTCCTCGTGCGCGATGGTCTGGCGCCTATACGAGTACAACTGCCCCTGACAACACGGCGCCATTGGCTCGGGCTTCTTCCCGTTACATGGGGCCACTTCGATGGTCACAATATGACATCAGAAGATATGAGGTTTGCACAGCAGTGAAAAATCCATTTCTTGATACGCTGCTAAGTACTGAGTATTGACATGGGAGGGGGGTGGGCGTCCCTAGCACCCCGAAAAGTACTTCCGAATGCAGTTCGAAAGATGTAATACCATTTCGCACCAAACATTTTCGGGCACACGGAATATTTCATAACTTGTACTCCTCGCCAAATATAATTAGAATGATCAAGTCAAGGAGGACGAGATGGACGGGGCATGTAGCACGAATGGGGAGAAGAGGAATGCATATAGGATAAAAAAGAAAAGGTATCCCTGTAACAGGCCGTGGAGGCCCATAGCGTTGTGAGATGTTGAGTTTCCCACATTAGAAAACCGGCTCATAGATGGAGGCAAGATTTTCGGCCTTACGCGCCGGCCCCCCTTTACCCCCAAGAATATTCCTGGTACTCATTTCTGTTAGAGGTTGAGTCGACCCCAGGGCCATAGTGCGGCCGGAAGGATTAGGTTAATTGAAAAATCCAATGACTTCATCGGGACTTGAACCCGCGACCTTCCGGCTTGTAGTTTAGTGCCTCAGCCAACTACGCTACCGCGCCCCCCTGCATATACGGTATTGGTGGGAAAGCCAGAAGGAAAGAGACCACTAGGAAGACCAAGGCGTAGGTGGTCGAACAATATTAAAATGGATAGGATGCGGTGGTATGGACTGGAATGATCGGCTCAGGATAAGGACCAGTGGAGGGCTCTTGTGAACACGGTAATGAACTTTCGGGTTCCATAAAATGTTGGAAAGTTCGTGAGTAGCTGCACAATTGGCGGCTTCTCAAGAAAGGCTCAGCTCCATGAAGTTAGGACTTTTCTGTACCACAGAGACAATACTTTCCTCCTAAGTAGTTGTGCCAGATTCCTTCAGAATCGTTTATCTTTCCGTCTTCTGTAAAATAGTGAAGTTTGAAATATTTGCTGTTTATGAGCGTAACACACCATGTTAGGTGGGCCCCTGTCACCACGGCATGGCGCGTCCTCAGGTTGCGGATGGAGGAGACGCCCTCCAGTTTTGGAGGGAAGCTGTGAATGTATTGATTAAGCAGTCGCGGACAGCCGACAAGGGATGGGCCTCCAGCTTGTGGGTTGGGCGTGGGGCTAACAACTCCTCACCGTAAAAAAATAAACTCGTTGCGAAAAGTCTCAAGAAGCCTCGGACCTGGACGCATTCCTTGGATAAACGACCTAAGGAATGCATATAGGATATTGGTTGGAAAGCCAGAAGGGAAGAGACCACTGGGAAGACGAAGGTGTAGGTGGCTGGACAATATTAAAATGGATCTTAGAGAGATAGGATGGAATGGTATGGGTTGGATTGATCTGGCTCAGCATTGGAACCAGTCCTTGGGTTCCGTAAAATGCTGGGAAATCCTTCAGTAGCAGCACAATTGGCTGCTGCTCAAGAAGGGCTCAGCTTCATAAGTAAGTAAGTAAGTAAGTATGAGTGTAACACTTGGTCTCTCGTACTGACGAACGAGCACAGGCCGACAGTTTCAGGCAGGACACGTTGTACTCACATTCACTCCCACATGCCGTACCTTGGGAAAGACATGGGCTTTTGCTTGTTAATTACTGAATCCAACCGGTGAAGTCGGTTTAGACAAAGTCGACATTTCGCGCTTGGGCCCCTGCTGGGAGTACTGTTACTTTTTTGGAGACACCGCCTGTACAGTCTCTACAAATTACTGAAATTTAATCAAAATCGTCAGAGCAGTTTTCAATAAAATCGCCATTTTGACTTAGGGGCCCATTTGAAAGGTAGGATGTTCATACTCAGCGGCCGCCGACGTATGACGCTTATGAGCACAACGCGTCCAACCATTCAGTTTTCCACACACACACACACATAGGCAGACAGGCATTACTTACTTACTCATGGAACTGAGCCCTCCTTGAGGAGAAGCCAAATCTGCAGCTACTCAAGAATTTCCCAGCGTTTTATGGAACCCGAAGGTTCATTACCGTGTTCACAAGAGCCCTCCACTGGTCCATATCCTGAGCCAGATCAATCCAATCCATCCCATCCCATCCTATCTCTCTAAGATCCATTTTAATATTGTCCACCCACCTACCCCTTGGTCTTCCCAGTGGTCTCTTTCCTTCTGGCTTTCCCACCAATACCCTACACGCATTCCTCGTCTCCCATATTCGTGCTACATGCCCTGCCCACCTCATCCTCCTTGACTTGATCATTTTAATTATACTTGGAGAAGAGTACAAGTTATGAAGAGGCAGACAGGCATACATAAGTAAAGTTGTCCCTGTGCTTAATTACGTAAGCACTATGCCATGACATATAAGGAAGTTGTGGTATAGCTCCACCTTCCTTCATCTCGCCTATAGATTGATGTTAATGGTCAGCTTCACCCTCCAGCCGATTTACCCCGCTATCCATTTGATAGGCTGGGTGGGCCCCAGAGCCTTTCTCGGCACTATGCAGAAGAGAAAAATCTAGCGACGGCATAATATAATTTGTGTTGTGTGTGGGGGGGGAGGATTAAAACGCGTACGCCCCTCGTCATCCCAGTGGCTCCTCTTTCTCATACTACGTACATGAGAAAGTGAAAACAAAAAGTCTTCCGTGAAAGGAATGTCTGTCCGTCTGTCCCTGCTCTTATCTAATTAAGCACTACGCCATGACGGCGTATGGAGGAGTGGATGTATAGACCCACATTTTCTTGACCTCGGCATTAGTTGAAGGTGCGCAGTCAGCTTCACTACGAGGTTGGGTGGACCCCAAAGACGGTCTGGAAGACTTGGAGAAAATCCTTGCCCCTACCGGGACTCGAACTCCGACCCCTCGGTCGGCCAACCCATGCCAGTCGCTATACCGACTCCTGCCTGAACCTTTGGATGTGTTCACTTTTTTATACAATCCAACACTGCAGATTTTCACAGAAATGTTGTGAACCCCCCCATTTTCGGTCATATTTGGCCCTTAGCAAAGCCTATACGTGTTTGTACTCAATTGGCCCATTAGAAAGTCTACTTTGCGTGAGACCATAAACGGGCCTTTCAAGCGAACTCACACACTGTTGCACACTCCTCGCTCTTACGAGTGCTGTGCACTGCTGTGCTGCTGAAACTTATGCTTGTTCGAGACGTTTATAGACCGCGCACAGATATCGGCAATGAGTTGCAGAGAACGCCATAAGGAAGTTTGTCAACTCTCTGCAGTCCCGCTCGTCAGTTATGACACGCGTACTTGGGTGCGTGGATAATCAGCGTTTCGGAGGAACAGATTCCTCCGTCTTCAGGATCGAAGTCTAGAAATCTGCTCTCAGAATAATGGCAGGATGTTCCTTCGAAACGTTGGTGCCGACATACCAGACTACACGGTATCATAATCCAGAATGCTATAATATTGTAGCATTGTAACTGAAGATAGAGCCTTTACTAAATTACGATACATTAAGCAACTCATCAACGTAACAACGGTTGCACTTGCAACTTCTGTACGGTCCGTGCGGATAGCGACGTCACCCAACAATAGGAAAGTTGTAATCTGTGTTTTCTGTGCAGTCCGTGTCGAGGATACTGGCCGGATGACCGTCAGTCGTAACGTAAATTTGACTTTGACTTAAATTTATAAACACGCACATGTCTTGCAGAGAACAAATGTCTTCGTCGTGGATCTCGAGGAAACTGAAGGCAGGAACGACTGGACTGATATGTAAACTGGGTCACTGGGTGTTTAAGGGTCCAGTAAACCCGATTACCAATCCAAACCGAGCTCTAGTCACTGTACACGTGACAGTATGAATCTATGATACACTTTGCAGTCACCCTGTTCCTTCATACTGCAGTGTTGGACCAACTTGTGGCTATATAGTGGGTGACACTTTGCTTCGTATTTAGGGGAAGACTGGTTCGAATCCCAGCCATGCGGTCTCTTACCGTGGCCGAGGTTTTCATGGGTTTAACCCTTCAGTCCAGATCCTGACACATTCTTTCACTTGACGCTTCAAAACCGGTTCAGTTGCCAGGGCATCGTTAAATCAAACAGAATCGCTGGACCAGAAATCACATTGGCAGGTGAGCCGTGAATGTACATGTGTTGCGCTTGTTTTCTTCGGTTTCTGCCTCAGCTCGGTTTAGAACCCAGACTGCTCTTCATGTCGGAGGAATAGTTGGACCGTGTTTGTGGCAAGGCAGGCGTGAGGAATGCATACTTTGTTTTCTTCGAAAGCCCAAGAGAAAAAAATGAGGGAACTCAGACGCTTTTTTTAATATAATATTAACCCTTAAAGCCCAGTGGTAACTATATGTGCCACCCGCTTTAACACGCTAAAACTCTGTATTCTGCCCACACAGTTGATAAGGATCTGTCAACTGACTTTGCATTTTGTTGTGCCCTGCTTATCGACATGGGCATGTCCCTTTGTCGTGTCGCGTCTCATGCCTCAGCAACCCATGGGGTAAATGGGCCGGATCCAATTCCTCGCGTTGCAGGAAACGCGTGGCCCATGAAAGTGATTCCCAGGCCTTGGAACAATTCTCCGAATTGACATTCATCAAACAAGAACATGACCCTAATGTGTATTTACAGTTGGCGCGGTATCTGCATAACACGATTGTGCATCATCAAACGTGTTTGTGTTCTGTGTTCTCACGGGGTAGAGAGTGTAAATCAGGGGTGGCCAGAGTGTGGACTGTCAAGAGTGTCATCTTTCGGAATTTGAGTCAAGCAGAACTCTGCTTTCTACCCGCTCCTTGCGCGTTGCTTACTTGTCTTAGTCCTCGACACTGAAGAGGATGGCATTTGTTCCCTCGTAACTTCGGTGAACACCTTCAGGGCTATACTCTCAGCATCCTTGAAGATGGTACTTTCCGCACTGACCGCTGGGAGAACCTCAGATCCAACGGAATATGGACCAGCCTCAAAGGAACGTAAATTGTGCCCGAGAACTACATACGGATGAAATTTCATCGTAGCCGGTCCACCCCGTATCATCCACAAGGATACACAGGATTTAGAAAACACACAGAACATAGGCTGACTGGCGCTGAGGAGAATATTTGAACCTAAGACGGATGAAATGGCTGGAGGCTGGAGAAAACTGCATAATTTCTACCCTTCGTAAATTATTATTTGGTCATTTTGCATAGTGGAGGGTGGAGTTCAGTTGTGTCCACTCGGCACGGCGGCTACTGATTGGCCTATTGTACCTGCCCCGGGTGATTATAATGATGGAGAACTTTGTGGAATGAAGATTGTCAAGGGAAACTGAAGTACTCGGAGGAAACCTACACCAGCGCCACTTTGTCCACCACAAATCCCACTTCACCAGACCCGGGATCGAACCCAGGCCGCCGCGGTGAGAAGTCAGCGACTAACCGTTTGAGCTATGGCGCGGCTCTTATTAGGTCATAGATTGAAGGAAGATGAGGTGGGTAGAGCATATAACACGCATAGGAGGGAAGGCAAACACACAGAATATTTTGGGCGGAGGCCTTTGAAGGGAAGAAACCACTCGGAAGTCCTAGAAACAGATGGAAGGATAATTTAAAGTACATGTCAGAGGAACAGAGCTTTGGATTGAGGACTCGAATCACGTGTCTCAGGATTATGCGCAGTAGCGGACTCTTGTGAGCACGGTTGGGAATTGCTTGAACAGCTGAGGAACTGTCAGCTTCAGATTAGAGGCTATTCTCACGTAAGCGCAGTCGGTCGAACGGTTTGTGCACTCGCTGGCGTGGGCTTCAGGTCCCATTGCGAGAGTTGTCGTTATGTCTATTGTAGAGTAACTGATGATATTCTGATGGCCATAATTATCATCATCATCATCAGAATCTACTGGGTTCCGGTGCTAAACCCCATTGTCACGGGGGGCAGCCATGCGTGAGTCACAGGGATCGCTGGGTTCATTTGACACCACATCTCGCATCGTAATGCCCGTACCGGAAACGACACGGCTCGGCGATGTAAAGCACAGTGGTAAGTATATGTACCACCACTAGAACTGTACAACTTCTGCTAACTCCATCTTCTTGCAGAATTCAATATTTTTCTTTAGCTTTCTGTACGACCGAGATGACGAACCGAACGGTTGGAGATTAATCAATCAATCACTACAATATAAAGACGTAGGGGGGATGGGGGTATAGCTCCAGCGTTCCTGACATCGGCATTAGAAGGAGGTGCGTTGTCAGCTTCACACCCCGGCTTTTTTATCCATGGGTAAGGAGGCTGAGCTGGTCACGGAGTCGGTCTGAACGCTGTGAAGAAAACCTCTTGCCCCTGCCGGGAATCGAACCCTGGCCGTCCAGCTCTCAGCCCGCTAGTATACCGGCTGAACTGAACGACTGCAGCTGACCACGTGAAATTTGGTACAGGGACAGACCTACATTTCTGTATCGAAATATTGGTCGAGAATTGGGAACATGGCGGTGGTGCGAAGTTTTGAGGATACAGCTGACAGATCTAAAGTTGACAGAACCTGCTCTTACGCAACGACTTCTTCTTCTTTTTTCTTGACGGATTAGGCTTTCTGACCTATTCCCATTTTATAGACAGTCGGTAGGACTCCATAGATACGTGATCAGCCCGTCAGAAAGCCGCTACTTTTACAGGAGAACACAACACAACATGCGCAGACAGACACATGCAACAGCTACGCACGACACAACAATGGTAACTACACATCAGCACAAGATACTGACGCACAGACGAAGGCATGCACCAAAAATTAAACTTACGGACGGAAGCACAGCAATTTAAAGACACCTGAAGATGACCACTGTTGGTCGAAACATGCAGTGTGCATATACCAGTGATGTGGAAGAGATTTTAAAGTTTAAAACTTTAAAAAGTAAAGTTGTGTGTGAAATGGCTAGTAAAATAAGGAATAAAGATATTCATTCCTTGACTGGGATCCGAACCCACTATCCCAACGTTCGAGCGGGCGAAGCCATTTCATGCGCACGGCCACTGTGACCGATGTGGAGGACCACAAATCCATGTAATAGTAAGTGACTTGTCAGAGAATTGGGGTTCTCACGACCGTCTTCTAGGATGTGACTCCGTGTATATGATAGTTAGCAATGTACGGTGCCTCCATCTTCAGGGTATGAAATATGTCGAGCCCGAATTTAAAATAATGTTTCCTTCTGCACTGTGCCCCTCAGGTTGCGTCGTGACAGAAGCCTTGTGGGGCCCTGGGAAACCGGAACTGAAAGGCGTCAAGATGGCGCTGTTAGGAGGCGATCTGTGGCGCAGATTTCACGATGTTCATACAGAGATGATCATTACGAAGCTGGGAAGGTAAGTGCGTCTTCTTGTTAACATATCGACGCTACGTCGTCGTCAAACGGTGACGTATGTCATTACGTCATCATTAGAAAGTCACTAGATTGTAGGTTCTAAAGAGTTCTCACAATGGTGTATAACACTCAGAATTACTGGGTTTTGGAATTTTTCCATCGTCCGGTATTCTAGTTTCTATCTGTTTTAAGTACTACCGAAGAACAGCGTTCTGTTATGCGGTTTCTGTGGGCAAAAGGGCTCAATGCAAAGGATATTCATAAAGAAATGTTTCCTCTTTACGGTGGGAAGTGTTTGTCGCGTAAAAAGGTTCACAACTGAGTCGAGAAATCCTGTAAGGACATTGGAAAGCCGCAGTTGATGCCGGACCAGGCGCGGAAGGGGCTGGGACAGAAGTGAAGGGACTTCTGTGCTGGGGCTTTCGATGCATTTGTAAAGAGATGGGACAAGTATATCAGTGTTGGTGGAGGATATGTCGAGAAATAAATGTTTTCTTCCAAGGTTCGAATTTCGCATGTTTCACGTTTTACATCCGTTTGTGACTCATTTACGGACCACAGTTCCCTGCTAGTCATCATTTCACAACGGTCTAGAAAACCGAGATTAACGGCCGTGGGGATCCATTGCGCTGACCACGCGACACTCTCTATCCGCAAAAGTTGGCACTAACTTCGCCGACAAGCGGCGGTCGCTCGGTCGGTATAGTTCGCTTGCGGACTTAAGCCACGGAGTTTAGTTTAGTCATCATTACACCATTGCTGCATACTCGTGCATCGCCGCCCGCTGAAGGGTGGAGTAACCCTGACTAGGCGGCACATCGTCACGCGCTCGGTCTCCGCGTTAGGGGCCTACATCTTTGGACACTTGGCCAGCCACAGAGTAAGGATGTTGTTTATTCAAAGTACCGTCATCTGAGATGTGACGCCATGTAGTCCGGTTAAGTCCACCGACGTCCGGGAGGAACGTTCCATTTCCAGCTTCAGGATCGAACGGTGATCGAAGCAGGAAACCAACAACAAAATGATCTACTTCCTGCTGGTTTCTTCATTAGTTTACTATGCGACTCTGACGACGCAGGCAGAAATTTCCTTCTAAACGTATGTGGACTTATACCGGACTACACGGCGTCACATTCCAGTGCTCGTCATAGTCGCCATTGTGAGAACCTGAAATATAGCTTCTTTCATGAAAATTTCACCTGAACGGAAGAGATTGTTTGTGGGACCTAGCTATAGATTGGAGTATGGTACCAAAATGGATCCTAAACAGAATGTGATGTGCCCTGGATTCAGCTGGCTTAGTATTGCATTTAGTGGCTTGCTTTTGTCAACACGGTAATTATATTTTCGGTTCCAATAATAGTTTAAGACAATCTAAATATTATACATGCAAATCCAGTCCGTACCTCACAGGAAACACATTACGTCTCCACTACAAAGCACAGCCGGTTAATGCTGTTTAGGGAAATAATCCCTGTTTATTGTGAGAACCGTACGGAACACACAAATACACTCTGTGGGCAGAATGCAGAGTTCAGTTCGTGCCTCACAGGAAATACATTACGTCTCCGCTACAAAGCTCAACCGGTTAATGCTGTTTCTGGAAATAATCGATGTTTATTTTGAGAATCATGTGGGGCACACAAATACACTGCGCGGGCAAAGTGCAAATCTTACAAAGTGCAGAGTTCTCTAACGGTAAAGCAAGCTGTATATATAATTACCACTATGCTTTCAAGTGTTAACGATGGAGAATTTCTTGGCCAGCATATCTTGTTATGAAGACGATCTCTGTTCCCTGCCTTTACCCTTTGCTGCGTGACCTGAGTTATCTCATTTGTTAAAACGCAATCGGTCAGTTGTCATTTGAGGCTTGTTCTGTTGGTGTTTACTCTTGTACCCCTTTGTCCTTACCCCCTCCGTGCCCACCCCAGTAGACAATACAGCGTGGCCGTAAGACCGGGGACATGTTTATTCAGTAAAAGTCTAAATATCTGACTGACCTCAGCGTCTACATTTCTGTTCTTGTTAAATATTTGTATGATTTGCTGAGTTTTGATACTGGTCATGTGACGTAGCAGGCGCCGTGTTATCAGCCCCCAAAGCCAGTTAACGGAAATTTTGTTTATGAATGGAGGGGTGGTACCCAGCTTGTTGGCCACTGCACATAACTTTGTTGTGCTGCAACCTGGAAAACATGCAGGAGGTACTCCCACTAGTTCAAAGCCATTTCCTTCCAAATCCCTTTCAGTTCATCATTCGACGGTGAAGAGTCTCGTTACTGACAGCTCCGTGTAATAATAAAAGAGTTATATATCGTATAGTAAATCGAATGCTGGGGCTGCAAACCATCGCCAATACATAAATTCCTATAAAGAGCGTGTTCTTTTGTAACCGAATCTTTTTGTTGTTCCCGAGCAGACATCTGGATATGTGTAACTTCAGAACATGGCCGTGATGCGCAAAGTACAACTGCGCATCCTGCCGACAGATATTTTAATTCAAAATGCCTTTCGAATTGTTATCTTCTGGATTGTGACTTGCGTATAATCGTGTAGGTGGTTACTGACATTTGGTGGGGACATATGCCTCCGCCTACAGCACTGAGGTGATTTCGGGTCTCGTGATGCAGGAAATATGTTGCTACACTCCTACAAGACTACACGGTGTCGCAGTCCAGGACACTTAGTCTGAAGATTCAGTTGCATCAACGTGTTTAAGTAGCTAAGTAACTCCATTGGGCTGGGTACCCTTTGCTCAGCCACTGAAGACATTTCCAACGCTTCATTGAAACCGAAGGTTCATTACTGTATTCACAACAGCCCACAACTGATCTGTATCTTGAGTCAGATGGATGCTTCACATTCTGTATCTGGAAGATTCATTTTAATATTATTACCCCAACTACGTGTAATTCTTCCTAGTGGTCTCTTTCCTTCAGGCTTTTGACACCTACTTTTTATGCCCTTTTAGGCTTTCCCGTGCATGCTACATGCCATGTCCATCCAATTCTGCTGGATTCGATCATGCTAATAATATTTGTCGAGGAATGCAATTTATAAAGCAGTTTTCTCCATCACTGGCAACCTGTTCTCAGACACCCTCAAGCAATGCTTTTTGTTTAGGGCGAGAGACCAAGTTTCGCACCCGTACAAAACAGCAGGCCACGGCGCATGCGGCCGGCGCTGTAACTACTCGTCACAGACGTCGCAGTCACGGTGCAGAGCAGAGTCTGTGTCAGGAACTCGCATTCAGCTTAAAAGTGTCCACACGATATTCATTTCGAAGCAGAGGCGCCGATCCGATGTAAGACAGGAGCAGTGATCATGTCGCGTCTTGCACTCCGGCATCCTCACCGCAAAGTGTTCCTTGGGGGCACACCGCACCGCGTGGCGCCTCACTTCTCCTGTGAGACCCGCCGGCCAGACGTTTCGTGAAGAGACGGAGAGGGCCCACAAAACGTATTGCCTCTACAGTACCCAGGGTTTCTAAAAATAGCACTTCAAAAGAAAAACTTATAATTTTAAATGCGGCTTCAAAGCGGTTACGCTTAAGATTTGGATTCGAGACGTGCTCTGTTCGAATCTCGTCCGGGACGCCAAATGTCCTGATTGATGTTGTTCATAGTTTTCCTCCGTACCTCCAAAGAAATTCCGGAATAATACCTCGATGAGATCAAAACTATTTCCTTCCAAATCCTTTCGGATTCATCTGTAATCCAACCATTTGACGGTATAGAAACTGATCACATCGTAACATGACCCACAAAAATTCAACAACTAAAGTGAAGAACGATGATGATAGGCCAGGCTTGTAGAATGCTTGATAGCGATGAGAAATGTGTACAGTGTTATTGAAGGCGATCCTGACGAGAAGAAACAGCTGGAGAGCTCTGCGCATGTGTGGAGAGGAAACTTTGTAAGACAGGTTGGAGCAACAAGTTGTGGACTGGATTCAGCTGGCTGAGGGTAGAGTCCTATGGTGTGCTCTTTGGAGCACAGTAATGAACTCTCCGGTTCCCCAGAGAGACCATTTGGGTGACTGGATGTCAGGTCATGTTGAGTGCAAACTGATGTAAAGGCCAGAAATTCGGCAAGACCACGTGAATATGTTTGCACGCTGTCTGGCCGACGGCGCCAGCCAAGATTCCACTGGCCGTGTCTGAGTTTCGCCGCAAGTGCAAAGTGGAGTGAACACATGTCACAGACAACAAGCCATCTCTATCAGGACACCGTGAGCGGTTTTAACTTCGCGAGGTACGGGTACCCCGATGTAAGGAAGACTGCAGGCTCGACACACAGTAGTCCAGATCGTCAAGAAATTTCCCAATATTTTATGGAACCCGAAGGTTCATTACCGTGATCGTATAAGCCCACCATCCTATCTTATTAAGAGATTAATGCAGCCTACTCTCTGTCAGTAGGGCCCGCATCCTAATTAACTCCATGGAGCTGAGCCCTTCTTGAGAAGCCATCAGTCGCTCAGCTACTCAAGAATTTTACAGCATTTTATGGAACCCGAAGGTTGAAGAAAGCAGTCTTCTGTGATTTGGCACCGTGTATATGTGGTGTTAACCGACGTTTCGGAGGAACGTATCGCCTCCATCTTCAGGGTAGAAGAAAAAATATAAGAAATCTGCAAAGCGAAGAGACCGTGAGAACCGGTAAAAGCAGACACAGTCTTCTTCTACCCTGAAGATGGAGGCGATACGTTCCTCCGAAACGTCGGTTAACACCACATATACACGGTGCCAAATCCCAGAAGACTGCTTTCTTCATAGTCACCGCCGTGAAAGCCTCAAATCTTACAACCCGAAGGTTCATTGCCGTGTTCACAAGAGCCCTCCACCGGTCCCCTTCCTGAGCCAGATCAATCCAGTCCACACCTTTGCATCCTACCTCTCTAAAATCCATGGGATCGCTCATCCTGTCACAGCTAAAGTCATGTGGCCGTAGCGCAACTCTAATTGCGTTCTCAGTCCCATGTTTCCTTCTCTGGGCTATTTCACGACAGCTTCAGCAGCATAACCATGTTGTGACATAGCGGGATGGTAGGTGAATGGTGAATCGACAAGAATGTGGAAGGTAGTGGCCGTGGCCTAATCGAATTACTATCCGGACATTTGCCCGGACAGACTGAGGAAAATAATGGAAAACTTCAGTCAGAATAGCCAGTGTACCGGCCAAGATTCGAACCGATCACCTGATGAATACAGGCCTAAAGCGTTACCTCTGCGCCAACCCGTTGGGTTCCGAGGCCACAGAAGAATGCATCACACTCAGTCAGTCTCTGCTAACTCTCTGGCTGCGATATCCAGTGAACCCACCCTGTCGCGTCTCCTGACATTCCACGTGCCCTGGCCCACTGTTTAGGCGCTGTTGCAGAATCTCTCTGAGACCTGTGTAACGTTTCATACAAGGTGTTTTAATGGCGAGGAGTTCTCAGCTAGCTACCCAACTCCTAGGTTGAGGAACAACCCCTTGTCGGCTGTCCGCCACTACTTATTTGGTACAATCACAGCTGCCCTCCATATCTGGAGGCCGTCCCCGGAGCACGAATCTGTCAGTGTGATAAGGGCCCTGTTACTGAACTGAGGTCAGCCCTCACGGTCGTCCCTTGTTGATGATGATTTTGTACTTTGCTCCTTGTACCATGCGGATGTGGGCAGTGTTTCCAACTCACTCATTCACCTCAGTCTTTATGCGACTTAAAATTGTTTACAATCTCTCTTTAATTAAAAATTACATTTGAATCACATCAATTGCTGCATGTTTCGGCCCTACTGGGCCTTCTTCAGGCAGTTGTTCACTGTTTGAAAAACCGTCGCACTGCACTACATCGGAAGCCAATATATTTCATGCTGTTGCATATCGTTGTTCACACTAAAATGTGTTTGTTTGAGAATAAACCTCTCTCTCCGCTCCGCGTTATTTTCCTATTTCGGCGACCATGTTTGTCCTCCTTCGTTTGTACGTTATCAATAGTTGGGCATATGTCCCTTGAGTTTCCAACGTTTCGGAGGGACTTATCGCCTCCATTCTCATGGTCGAAAATTAAAGGAAGTAAGAAACCAGCAACAAGCAGGAGGAAAGAAATGCTTATTACCGGTTGCTTGCTCGCTTACTTTTCAACCCTGAAGATGGGAACCAATACGTTCGTCTGAAATGTCAGTAGACTTGTTCCAAACTACACGATGTTACACCCCAGAAGTTCGCACACTGCACAGTTACCGCTGTAAAGTAAGGTGTTCCTAATCTCGCCATGTGTGCATGTGAAGGCCGGAGACTGTGGGGGCCACTGCATGCAGGGTTTCGCTTCTTATCGCCGCATCGTCAATATGACTGTTTCTAAATTGTGGGATGTAAGGCGATGCAAAGCCTTTGGCTTCTCTTCTACCGCCGTTTATAGCGCGTGTTAACGAACCATTGATTTAAATGGATTTTTTCCCAAACAGCCATACTGCTCATAAATGACTGCTGAAGTTTATCATCAGCTCCAGTGGGAAAACAACCTTATCAATCTGGAATATGATCTCGGACTTTCCATTTCGCATATTGTCCTGTTGCTTGTGTCTGGGTATAATGCCAACTGTTCGAGCACATTGCCCTGCAGATCAGCTTGCCAACTGTCCCAGACCGCTTGTCGTGTTGTGAAAGGTAAAGTTGTGCCTGTTCTTAGATAAGTAAGCACTACTCCATGAAGACGTATGAGGAAGTGGATGTGCAGATCCAAATCTTTTTGACCTCGGCACTGGCTGGAGGTGAGTGGTCAGCTTCATGCCCCGGCCGCTTTACCACCGGGGAAAGAACATCCGGTAACCATTGAATAGGAGGTTTTGTGGAGCACAGTGCCGGTTTGGACGATGTGGGGAGGAGAAAATTGTTGACCCTACCGGCACTCGAACTCCTACCCCTCCGCCGTCCAACTCGTAGCCAGTCGCTATACCGACTACGCTATGTTGTCGTATCTGCAAGAAAAATCTGAACAGTTCTTTTTACAGCCATATTAATGTTCAGAAACGCTGTACGTCATGAACCACTTTGCAACATTCAGGTTGTCATGTGTACCGGCTGCTCTAACAAGCTGAACCTTGCATTCTGCCCACACAGTGTATTTATGTGTTCCGTATGGTTCTCATAATAAACAGCGATTATTTCCCTAAACAGCATTAACCGGTTGGACTCTGTAGCGGAGACGTAATATGTTTCCTGTGAGGTACGAGCTGAACCCTGCTTTCTGCCCACACAGTGTATCTATGTGTTCCGTATGGTTGTCACAATAAACAGCGACTGTTTCCCTAAACAGCATTAACCGGTTGGGCTTTCTTATGGAGATTCATCCTTTCCTTGGTTTTATGGTTCACTAAGATAATGTGGGACCCCCAGCGTCTCACAACCCTATGGGCCTTCACGGCCTGTTACAGGGATAGCTTTACTTACTTAGTTACTATGAACCTTGACCCCCTTTACGATCGCCGCATGTTCACGTACTTCCCTGTCGTTTGCATTTGGCTCTAACAGAAAAGAGAACCAGGAAATTTCCTGGGGTTAAAGCGCGGCCTGCCGGAGCGTAATGCTGACAACCTAACCGCCATCTATGAGCCTGTAGTCTATAAAATATGAGAACCTCGACGTCTCACAACCCTATGGGCCTTCACGACCTGTTACAAAGGTACCTTTACTTTTTCTTTTTTCTTTCATTTCTCCACAATCAGCTCACGTAAATATTTCTGTGTGTCTCGTAGCCAGGCCAGTCTATGCCTTCCTGTTTTCTTTCTGCTGACCGGCTTTCGAAAATTGTTTTATTCATTTTGTTTGATCCATTCTCCTCCACTCCAGCCTCCTTTTAATAAGCCACTACGTCAGGGGGGCGGGGGGGGGGTTATATAATCCACTCGTTCCCAATTAATTCTGATTCCGCAAAGCCCTTGCTCATAAGGGTTTCTTCTCCAGTGTATTTGTCATACTTTTTTTTTCGGTCATGGACTATGCTTCTCATTTTGTAATGGGTGCGCATTGTGTTTCTTATGAGGTGGAAACTGAACACTATGTAGACGAAGTTGAGGAATCAGTGGCTTCTACCCGCTGTTGCAGGAACATGTTCCCGGTGATCACACTGGAAGTGAGCGGTCTGGAGCCCGAGGCCCGCTACTTTATCGTTATGGAAATTTGCCTGTCATCAGACCGGCGCTACAAATTTGTGGGCGCGGAGTGGAAGCCGACGGGGAAGGCGGAGCCGCAACTTGCGCCCAGCTCGCGCATCTTCATCCACCAGGATTCTCCGGCGACCGGCACCCACTGGATGCGAGAACCCGTCAAGATGAAATCAGCGAAATTGACCAATAACCCGCTAAACCGTAGCGGACATGTAAGTACCTCTCGCTCTTGCGCACACCCAACATGCTTCAGCAAGGCAAGACATTCCTCATATTTCATCCAACCCGCAGATTGATTTGCCGTGTTCACAAAACCCTTCAACACTTGGCCTCATTTTGAGCCAGCTGAATCCAGTCCACACCTTCCCCAACCTTCGTGAAGGTCTGTTCTAATATTATCATCTCATCCATTCTTAGGACCCACAAATTGTATGTACTCTTCAGCCTCTCAAATTAAAATATGTGTGCAATTCTGATCTTATCGTTCTCAATTCTGCTACAAACACTAAGATAGAATAATGTAAAGTCATTTCCCTGGTATGTTTGAGTATAATGCAGTGTAAAAGTATTTGGCATGTGGGAACCTCCCACATTCTAACAGACAACAAGTTTAAGGCTGGGCGCACACCAGGCAATCACAACGAAACCGCGATTTCAGAGAAATACCGATTTCAAGCAGGCAAGTGGTTTCCAAATTAGCAGGCGCACACTGAGGAAACTTACGTTCGATTAGTTGCTCACAACATCTCAAGTGGGTGTGTTTGCCCGCCAATTTCGTGCACTTCTCTTCTGGAATGTCAGATAATAATATTGTTCCTGTAATGATATGGCGGTGGTTCAGACGGCGTAAGAGGAGAAGACAGGAGAAACGGGAACATTGAATGCACCCGTTCCTTCTGTACAATTTAAATTCACGTGTCTATATTGTTTCGAAATAATTTAATCAGGATACAGAACTGTGCAAATAATTTTACAGAATGAGCACTGAAAATTTTTCTTTATTATTAGATGTAGTAGCACCTCAAATTCCAAGATAATATACTAATTTTCGTACAGCTGTGTCAGCAGAACCGTAGGCAAAATTATAGTTTTGTATGTTCCAATTTTTATGTTTTTGAACAGCAGACGAGAGGACAAATGAAGAAAGCAGTCTTCTGGGATTTGGCACCGTGTATATGTGGTGTTAACCGACGTTTCGGAGGAACGTATCGCCCCCATCTTCAGGGTTGAAGAAAAAGTATAAGTAAATCTGCAAGCGACAACACCATGAGACACGGTAAAGCAGTTTCCTCCGAAACGTCGGTTAACACCACATATACACGGTGCCAAATCCCAGAAGACTGCTTTCTTCATAGTCACCGCCGTGAAAGCCTCAAATCTTACACAGAGAAGACAAATGGTTCTGGACTGAATGGTAGCAAGCATTACCCGAGTTCAATCTCCTCTTAATTTCCTCCTGAACCAGGTTTTGGTTTGTTATCGTCGTTCCCAAATATCTCAACTGTGCCCCATTTTTAAAACATCTGTTTCCTATCTTTATATCCTGATTCTGCCCTGCATTTTGGTGACGAGACAGCAACATGTACTTAGTTTTCTGTATGTTTACTTCTAGATCAGCCTCCTTACTAGCGTCAATGAAAGTTTATGTGTTTCTCTTTATGATATCTATATTATCACCCAGTAGATTCACTAACATGTGTTCAACTCTGGCTGATAACACTTCTCGGGAATCGCGGTTGCCAGTTTCCTTGGTGTGTGCCCGGCCTAACAGACAACAGGCAACTCCCACAATGTCAAGTCAAAGTCAGTCATGTTGCGACTGACGGTCGGTCAGTCAGTCTGTCTGTCTTGGTGTCTCATGACCAGATGTTGCTTCTTAAGTGAAAGTTACTGTCCTATGCATGTGGGGCGCCCTCTCTGACAAGAGGTCGGGTCTGTCATTTGTCAGTCATAGTTGACAGCATCTCCCACAACTTCTGGGTCTGAGTCTGAGTCACGTTGCAACTGACGGTCAGTCAGTCTGTCTGTCTTGGTGTCGAGCCCCAGCTGGGGCTCATGACCAGATATTTCTTTTGAATGAAAGTTACTGTCTTGTCCATGTGTAGCGCCCTCTCTGACGAGAGGTCGGGTCTGTCATTTGTCAGTCAGTCTGTAGTACTAAGTCCACTGTCTGTATTTACACATATTTATAATACACTTATTTCTTATTTAAATGTACATATATACACGGCCTCCGTCAGTCCAGGCTAGGTACAGCAGATTATGCCCTATTTCTACCAGTACTCGCTACTACGGCAGTCTAGTCACTTGAACGGTCGTATGCCTGACCGCCGCCAAGTTTAAGCCTCTTATACTTTCTGTGTCGGGCTTCGCCTTGTCCGATGTTGCGAACATTCTCATTATCATGATTTTGTATGACTTCTGCTTGTTGCCTGCATAATTTTGTTATGTAATCATA